TTTTCCAACAAGAGAGCTTTTTGTGCCTTTTTTCAATGATGAATTGGAATTAAGCTCTATTGACACAGTTATGAAGAAGAGGAGTGCCAAGGTATTTACCAAGATCTTGAGTGAGAGGATTACCACAATGGTGGCTAAGATTCGAGCCTTATTCCTAGAGACATTAGAAGAGATAAAAAGCTTGGACTTGTGAAAATTGATTTTTTGGCCAGAAATATCACAAAAATCATTCAAAACTTCCATCACTACATTACAATTAACCATATTCGCTTGAGCAAAACGAATGAGGTCATCAGCAAAGAAAATGTGAGTTAGAGAAGGGCAGTTATTGGAGGCTTTAATCCCTCTCCAATCACCAGAATCAACCTTAAGATTGATCATGTTAGAGAACCTTTCAATGCAAAGGACAAAAATATAAGGAGAAAAGGGATCGCCCTGTTTGATGTCTCTACTAGTGTGAAAAGTTGGCAAGGCTTCACCATTCCATAAAATAGTGGTGTTCACAGAAGAGATACAGCTCATAATAAGATCAATCAAGTCTTTATTAAAATTAAATTCAACAAGGGTATTAAAAATAAAGTCCCAAGAGATCCTATCAAAAGCTTTTTCAAGGTCAATTTTAAGATCATACCGTCAAGTTTGCCTTTTTTATGTCTCAAAGTGTGCAGAATTTCCTGGGTAATGATGATGTTATCAGTGGTTGATCTACCAGAAATAAAACTACTTTGATTGGGGTTGATAATCTGATCAAGGAGAGGTCTAATTCTGTTAACAATAATTTTAGTGATTATTTTGTAACTAACATTGCAAAGGCTGACAGGCCTAAATTGCTTGATGTTCTCAGGGTTATCAATTTTGGGAATCAAAGTGATCAAGGTTTCATTAGCCTTAATAGGAATTTCCTTATTGGCAAAATAGTTTTTAACAAACATACAAACAAATGGACCAACAATGTCCCAAAATTTATGATAAAAGATGCCTTGAACACCATCAGGGCCAAGGGCTTTAAAGGCCCCAATGCTCTTAACAGTTTCCCAGATCTCTTTATCACTAACAGGTTGCTTAAGATGATGATTCTATTCTTCGCTGATTTTAACTTTGGCAAAGTTATTGTAATGCTTAAGAGTTAGGACATCTTCATGACTAAAGAGATTGCGAAAATAATTAATAACAAGGGATTTCAAGTCATTGGGGTTGTTAATCCAGACACCATTATCATCACAAAGCATGCAGCTTCTAAGTTTTCTTCTTCTAGTGATGGTAGACATGTGAAAATACTTGGCATTTCTCTCCCATTAGGCGAGCCACTTAACTCTAGATTTTTGATACCAAAGGATTTCCTCTTGGCGACGAACAAGATTGAATTCTTTTATGAGGTCTTTTTCAAGGAGAAACATGTTGTGAGTAAACATAGAGTCTTGGGCTTTTTGAATGCCTTCAATGCGAGATAAAAGTCTCTTTTTTTTATGAAAAATGTTGCGAAAAACGTCTTTGTTCCAGATTGTAGCTTTAGACATCATGAAGTTAGTTTTATCAATCAAGGAAGAGTCACATTCATTCCAAGTATTTTGAATAACTTCTTTAAAATTAGGATGAGTAATCCAAGAAGCTTCAAATCTAAAAAGTTTATTTATTGGAGTAACGGTAGAGTTCATACCTTAAATGTAGACCACCAACGAAGCATGGTTTGAGTATGTTTGGGGAAGATTCCAGACACAACTTTCAGGGAATGCGTTCATCCATTGAGTGTTGAAAAGAGCGCGATCAAGTTTTTCTTTGGTATTGGCTAATCCTTGACGGTTATTGGTCCAAGTGAGTTTTGGACCGGAACAGCCCATGCCCATGAGGTTGAAGTTGCTGAGTTTTTCAAGAAATTTCGAATTCCTACTTGTATTAGTGTTCGGGATGAAACTTCTTCTTTCCCCTTGATTAGCAAAATCATTAAAGTCAACTGCCACTAGCCATGGGCTTTGAATGTCTTCAGAGATAGCTTCAATGCCTTCCCATAGAGCATCTCTATTTCTGGGATTAGGACTAGCATACACGGTTGAAGGAACCCATTCCTCGTAATCCACTCTATTGATTGTGGCATGTATTACTTGGTGGTTGGCTTCAAATACAATAATACTGACCTGTGAGGGCTCCCATAAGAGCCAAATTCCTCCAGCTCTACCATTCAGATCAACATTAGACGAGGCAGTGAAGCCCAAGTTGTTGAAGAACGTGCCCATAGAACTAAATGTGACTTTGGTTTCCATGAGAATTATCATATAAGGTTTGTGATTTCGGATGAGATCCCGCATGTTTCTCTTGAAGGTGTTTTTGCCGACCCCCCGGCAGTTCCAGATAAGCAAATTCATTGATCCCTTATTGGGAAGTTCTGGGGGAGTGTTGAAGTTTGGTTGACCCGTGATGTGATTAACTCTCTTGTAATCGTCCAGAGTGGACTTCATTGATGCTAGTTTCACCAAGTGTTGAATGTGGCCTGAGAGGCATTTCTATCTTGGTTCAATACTCATCCTTGCTTGTTCTACCCATCATTCTATGACGATTAGGTGAGTTTAAACCCCATAAAAAGTAATTTTTTTAATTGAAAAAAAGTACATAAATTACTAAAAATTAATTAAAAAGTTAATCCAAACAAATGCTTGCATCTAAATAGTGAATATTTTTCATCGTTTAAATACAGTATAAATAATATCTCATTCCATATTAGATCAAGAAAGGAATAAAATTTAGGACGCTCGGGCGAAAAATCGAATATTAAAATTTTCTTATCCAAAGGTCCATACACTAATTTATTATGTGCATAAGGATAAGCTATCATAAAATGACCAAACTACTCTCAAAATTGGGGGCTTGGAACCACTCACTTATATGTTCAAATTTACACTTTTCAAAACCCTTCTCTCTCTCTCTCTCTCCATTGGTGTTAGGGTTTTCAATCTTCGATGGTTCTGTAGCCATCCAAGCACCGAAAACCGCCCCCTCCGACGCTGGTCTTCTATGGCCCTCACGACCCTCGTTGTTCTCATTGTGTCGCTTCTCTGATGACTCTTTAGTCGATTTTTGTTGTCGTTCTCCTCCTCCGCTCTACATCTGGTTTGTCAACAAGATCTGTCCCTAGATCTGGTTCGTCAACAACGGCGAGCATCGGTTCGTTGGCGTCATTGCTTTCCCTGTTGTGTAGTCCCTTTCTCTTTATGATTTTTATTATTTCGCTCTGTTTCTCTCTCTCTCTCTCTCATTAGATCTTTGTCTCCCTCACTCCTTAGATCTATTTTTCTCTCTCATTCTCTGGTTGGCGTCATCCTCCCTCTTTTCTCTCTCTCTCTCTCTCTCTCTCTCTCTCTCTCTCTCTCCCTCCTAAACACCTTGTTTCTCTAAAGCTTCTAGATCTGTATAGCATTCTAAGGCCTCGTTTGTTTTCAGAGGTAGAATAGAGAGGATTGTTAGTGAGGGGACTACTAGTGAGGGAATTAAGAACAATAGTGTTTGTTTGATAATCAATGGACTAATAATAGTTCATGTTTGTTTTGAGAGATAAGGATGTGATTAACCATGTGAAATTTCACAAATATCTTTTTTGCATTATTATCAAATTTAGACTTATACCAACTAAAGAATAAATAATTTTTACTCAATGCTATTCTTCTTCTTTTTATTATTTTTTTTTAAATATTAAAGAATCCAACTATCAAAATTTTTTTAGTCAATGTCATTTATTTATTTAATATTAATGAATCTAACTATCAATAAATTTTTAGTCAATGTTCTTCTCTCTTCTTCTTCTTCTTCTTCTTTTTTTTTTTTTTTTTTTTTATAGCGCAAATGTGTTGAATGGCTACTGTATTATTCACATCTTTTTACATTTGACGACCCACTCTACTACATTAAGTGATTCAGTCGTTTAATTATTAATATAAGAACAGAGATGATTTAACAAAGTAAAGATAAATTGCATATAAATCAAAGTAAAAATGAGATATAACCTTGACATACGTGGATTTTATACGGCGAATACTCCTGCAGTCGCATTTGGGTGCACCAGTAGGGACTAATCGCATTTTGTTCATCATCTATTCAAAAAAATTACACTTATTTAACATATTCGAACAGATAATTAATATATCAGCGTTTACCATCCATTTTCAGCATTTAAGTTCGAACACTCTAACACTATCGCGGGATCTCCTTCCTGCATACAGTGGGGCGACGATAGTAAGTAAATAACGCACATTACCCAGGCGCTTAACTTACATAACCCAATTGAGCAATTACTACTACTATCTCGTGTGAACCATTACAGTGCTTCATAATTATGCTATGGGTTCTCAAGCAGTTCGCTAACGGCCATTCTCTTCGATGCTATCTAAATAAAACCGACGCGGCGCCCCGACAAACCCCGCGGTATTTTAAATATTTCTGCTACTTACAATAAATCTATATGCCACACGACATATAAAATCTGCCCCATTCATACAACTGTGTAGGAGAATCATTAGGAGTTCGAACACTCGAACACCATATACGGTTCTTCCTACAACAGTGGCAGATATGTAATAACGGAGGGGTAAATGTATTCGCCTGGGCATTATAGCTCGTTGTGGTTAAGACCACTTTTCATGGTTATAATGAGAGAGACTTGTTAACGATGTTTCCAAAATTCAGTAGTTTCCCCTTTTATGAGAATAGTGTACTGTGTTCCATACTATTATAATGTATTCATAAGTAAATTATCAATAACCCATACACACATCAAATTTCATAAATAACAAATCATTTACACATATTGGTGCTACAAAACACCAACAAAACTCAACAGTATGGTTTGATCATGCCAAAAATAAACTCACTATTACTATAAATCATTTATACACTAATTTATTGCTCTGGCTGCTTGCCATTCATTAAACATTTGAGTTGACCAGGATTGTTTCCTATTCATCTCCATTGATCGATGCTTTTTCTAACAACATAACTGCATTTTTTATCTTCGGTATTCATGTAGCTGGAGAAAGAGGATTCATTTCCTATTCTCATCATCATCAGTCATAGGCATTTAAGATCACATAGGCATTTCAATGTTGTAATGCCAGATTGTAGCAAGAGAGAAGGCAATAATTGCAGTGATAATATGAAATTGAGTCTTGATTGGAACATAAGAATAAGTCCTAAATATTAGCCCACACCTCAATTTTAAGAGCCCCAAAAACTTCAGTGAGACGTTACAGCAAAAGAGTGCTCATGTCTGTTAAAAAAATCATTATGGAGTTGTTGGGGGCATCCCCTTCTCCATGGGAGATGGTACGTTGTCTAATATGGTACAAAGAAATCCTCCCAATTTTGTGTGACCCGCATCTATGAGATAGTAGCTGGCTGTTATTATGTAAGATGGTTTCACTATGTATAAAGAATAATTGTTTAATATAGATAGTGGTACTTATTATATCAATATATAATTATCATACAGTAAGGATTTCAACCATTGGGTTACTGACAGCTCTCTAAGTACCGACTAAGAGTCAGAGCAGATACTTCTATCTAGGGCAAGACATAATGAACATTGCAATGTCTTGGGAGCAACACTCCACAATATCATTTGTGTGCAATTTCCTCCTTTCTCGTTCTATACTTGGTTTGTCCTATTGTCAGGAGCAGAACTTAAGCAATAGGTTTCATCTAAAGCCGAAAACAGACAATTTAAAATAAAAAACAATATTATAATTAATAAGGCAATACAAAAATTTAATATGCTAATTAAGCGAGTTGTAAATATATTGTACCTGAAAACACTCATCTATATCTGTACAATTAGCAATTATTGGTTTAGGCTTTCTTAGAGGAAGACATGGGGCACAACATGGCCTGAGAAACATTATTGAATTGCCTTACTAACTGTTTGACCAACGT